AGCATACACTCACAGTCATTCGGAAAACACCGAGTATCAGCTGCCCTTAGCTAGATAATTGGCCTTTTGCCGCTGATAACGCTAGGACCACGTGAAAAATCAACACTGAACTGAGAGAAAAACTAGTGTGTGTAATCTTGAGTTTTTGCGCTAAAATTGAAGCAGTTGAGTCGTCTAGCGTGTATACTCATTAGTGTAGTTCATTGTGATTTCTGCATAAACGATAATGAACAATTTTCGTTGGACGCTTGCTCAGTGAGAATAGCCTGGCTGTTCAGGAGGCAATTTTCCCGCCAAAATTTTTAAGTGCCCATACTTGTGAACCACGCATGATTGGGGGCTGAATTTGAAAACTTTAAGTTGTACATGAACAGGGGGCTTTCTCTTAAAATTTCAACTTACCAGTTTCCCTGATTCTCGACATAGCAATTTTCTCTCCAAAACTTCAAGTTAAATCGTTTAATTGCAGTTAGTTGCTTTTGTTAACAACTCGTTTGCGGTGTTGGAACTGGACCTGCTTTCAGAGGCCTCCGCCTGTCATTGAGAGTGGATACGGAGGAACATTTGACTTTGCTGCATCTAAAATAAATTGTTAGGGAAACCTCGTTCTTATGCCATTCCAAAAAGAAATTGTTGCTAGACATTTTTTTGGTTTTTCAGAGAAAAGCGATGTACATCAAAAAAGTGGCGAAAATATTGAAAGAACAGTACGACAACGATATACCAGTGACAGTGGAAGAACTTTGCGCCCTGCCAGGTGTCGGCGAAAAAATGGCCTATCTTGCAATGCATAATGCATGGGATCAGTTGGAGGGGCTTGGCGTTGACACTCACGTGCATCGTATCACCAACAGACTTGGCTGGGTTGGTACTTTGTTCAGATTTTGCATTTTTTTTATGCCATAGTTTCATCCTATTAACCAATTTTGAAAAAATCCAGTGATGTATTCGAAGCAACGGTTTGCACCCGGTAATTGGCGCAACTTAACATCTCACCAGTTCGCTAGCCAGACCTCTGTGTTCCAGGTAAAAACATCAAATCCAAAACAGACTCGGTTGGCGCTCGAAGAACTGGTACCACGAGATCGATGGGAAGAACTGAATAAATTACTGGTTGGCTTCGGCCAGCAAACATGTTTGCCGGTTCTGCCGAAATGTTCGGAGTGTCTGAACAGAGATATCTGCCCAGCTGTTGG